TGCCACTACTCTCAAGAGCCACAGACAATTTAAAGATTCCATGTGAATTGGTCTGGGCCGGGAAGGGGGCGCGGAGAAAGAACACTTGGTTGTCTGGGCTGGCATTGTTCCCTTTGTCCACTTGAGCAGGGCTCAATCTTATTTCCAGAATGTCCAGGCTGACAGGCTCCATACAGGGGCTTTGCTGCCCCCCTTTTCAGGGGGTTAAGCCACAGAAGCACTCCCTTTCCTAGAATTCACTGCGGGGCACCGTACTCAAGAAGAATGGCTGCAGCTGTGATGAATGGGCCGCGTTTCCCTGCTACTGGATGTCAGAGCCTGGGTCAAGGAAGGTGCTTGTTGCTGCTAATCTATAACAGGTGGTGGGAACGCAAGGCAAACAGGGCTTCCTCTGTGTGGCAGCAAATAAAAGAAAGGGCTTGCGTTCAGGTGCCAAGGGAGTGGAAATAGTGAGAAAGACAGGGTGGAGCAGCAGCTTCAGAGGTGCAGAGGCGCAGGCCCACTCTCTTCCTTCCTCCCCCGGCCTATCCCTCCCCACAACTTTTTCCCACCTTCTTCCAGCGATGCTTGAAATTCCTTTAACAGGAGGCAAAGCCTCTCTTGCCACTCTAAATATAAATACAGACTAGGTTAAAATGAAATATAGAATAGGCTTCCAGAAAGTACTTTTCCCTATTCTTACCATGAATTGCAATTAAAATGTGCGACCTGGACATAATACATAAAATAAGCATAAGAAGACTCCAAAAGATAGTGAGAGGAAGGTCAGCTAGGGGCCTCAGGACCTGCAGAACAGCACAAGGGTGAGGTTCCTGGGTTTGCTTTCTGCCTCATATGTCCCAGACTTATTGCTGGAGAAGCTGGCAATTCAGAAACACCAACAGGTGCAGACATACAATGAATGCCCCAGCAAATGTCTGCTCTCTCTAACCAAAGGACCAGAAAAGGGGCAGCCTAGCAAGGCAGAAAATTTTGGGCAATAACTGCTTTACTCCAGGCAAACAACTCAAAAAAATCTTTGATCCCACAGCACCCCCACCCACAAAGACTGATTGGAGAGCTGAGGTTTCCACCCTGGCGAGGCTGCTGTAACAAGGGCCCTAACCCCTGCCAGGCTGGCATCAGAGAAGGCCGAGCAGGGAGCTGGGACTTTCATCCCTGCCACCATCCCACCTTAGCAGAGACTTGAACTTTCACTTCCACCTGTCAGTACCAAGGCACCCCCCTCCCCGCCATCTCCTCTCCCTCCCCTGGGATAATAAGAGAAGGGGCCTAGAGGAGAGTCAGGACTTTCACCACCACCCCAGCAGTAGGGAGGCCGCCTCTTCCAAGTGCCATTGGAGGCCTTGTGGGGACCAGTAAGAAGGCACCCTTGCCCCTCCCATCCAGAGTGGCCCAGTGGGGAGCCACAACTCCCACTCCTACCCAGCAGTAGCAAGTAGGCAACACCCCCCAGGGAAGGCCAAGTAGAAAACCTGGGCTTCTCCTTCACCTGGTAGGAACAAGTCAGCACCCGCTCCTCCCCCACCGACACAAAATAGACCTAAAACAAGATTTAAGTAAGATCCGGAGTCTCATAAAACCAAAAATATTAAGATTCAATCAAAAACCATTCATCACACCAAGAACCAGGAAGTACTCAATTTGAGTAAGAGTAACACAATCAACAGAGGCCAACACTGAGATGACACAGATACTAGAATCATCTGGCCAGGACTTTAAAGCAGCCATCATAAAAATGCTTCAATGAGCAATTACAAACACAAATAAAACAAAATAGAAAGTTTCAGCAAAGAAACAGAAAATAAACAGCAAAGAAACAGAAAATATAAAGAACCAAATGGAAATATTAGAACCGAAAAATAAAACACATGAAATTAAAAACTCGATGATGGGCTCAGTAGCAGAATGGAGTGAACCAAGGAAAGAATCAGTGAACTTAAATATAAAACAATAGAAATTACTCAATCTAACCAACAGAAAGAAAGTACATGGGAAAAAATGAACACCATCTCAGAGACCCGCTGGACTCAAAGAAAGATCTAACATCCATGTCATTGGAACCCCAGAAGGAGAGAAGAGTGCTGGGCAGAAAAAGTATTTGAAGAAATAAAGAAACGTTTCCAAATTTGGGAAAAGACATAAACCTACAGACGCAAGAGGCTGAGTGAAACTTGAACAAGATGACCCGAAGAAATCCACACCACGATGTTTCTAGCTAAACTTCTGAAAACTGAAGACAAAGGAAAAAGTCTTGAAAGCAGTGAGAGCGAACACGGCACCTCTGCGGAAAGACTCTTGGAATGACGTCAGATCATCAGAAAGCATGCAGGCCAGAAGGGAGGGCACAGTGTTTCAAGTGCTGGAAGAAAGGGACCCTCAACCGCCAAGCCTAGATCCAGCAGAGCAGCTCATCCCACAGGAATGCAGGGGAAGGCGGGACATTCTCTGATGAAGGAAAACAAAGAGAATTTGTCACCAGCAGACCTACCCTAAAAGAACAGCTAAAGGAAGCTCTCCAAATAGAAAGAAAATAACAAAAGAAAGAATCTTGGAACATCAGGGAAGAAGAAAGAACAAGGGAAGAAGTGAAACTATGGGTAAGTACAATCCATTTTCCTTCCCGAAAAAGAACCACAACACGTGAGAAAGCCAACACAGTTTAAACGTCCAATAATAACAGCGGCCTCTTGGGGAGCTTACTCTCCGCAAAGCATTTTGCCTGCCTCATCCCATTAACCTTTACAAAAGCCCAGATTATCATCGCCTCCAGTTTATGGATGTGGGAATTCTGCAGCGAGCGTCAGAGGCAGGGTTTGAACACATGGACGTCTGCTCAACTCTCCACCTCGAGCTCTTAACCGTTCCGGCCCACGGCACCCCAAGCTCGGCACGGCTCTCCGTGGAGCAGCAGCCAGCAGGGGACAGGAACGGGCCTCCGGAAGGGAGAAGAGCCTGCGCGAGAAGGAGGCCTAGGGAGCCTGAAAACCGTTCAACACTGCCTCAGAAAAGAGCAAACGGAAATGAGGAGAAAGATTCTACAAGGAGGAGAGCAAAGCAAGAACTAGTAGAGGACAGAAGCAGAACTGAGCGCCCGAAGGCTCTTGGGGGGCATCTTTTGTGCCAGTAAAGACCCAGAAGCCCAGACAGGATGTGTAACTGGTCCAGAATCTCCAGACAGTGAGCGTCAGGGTGAGGACTGGAACCCACAGCTCCTGAACCCCAGGCCGTTGCTTTTGAAAACAGTAGAGAAACAAACGGCTAAGGAGAGTTTCCACATGGGTCTCCTCTAAGTAAAAAGTGTCTGAGTCTTAAGATCCCAAGGGGAGCTCAAGTAGGTCGGGCCAGTGTGAATCTGAGGCGAGAATCTGGAAAATCATAAAGAAAGAACCTGAATTTCTCGGCAATCCAGAGAACTGCGAGGTAAGGCCATGGATCTTTTGGATGAGGGATCAGGCCCTTTCCAGAAACCTGCTCTAAGGGGAAATAATTACATAAAAGGTGGTATCGTTCTAACGCAAATAGCTCAAAAAGCTTTCCCTCCGATTTTTGGGAATGGAAAACACAAGGCTTTGGACAACGTTGCTGAGTGGTCCCCCCGCCCCCTCAACTCTGACCACGGGTCTCGTGAGCGCTGGGCACTACCGACCGTGAGAAAGCTGCTGGACTCCGATGAGGATGAGAGCCAAGAAGAGCTCTTTAGCTCAGGAACACAGAGTTGAAGCAGAACGTCAGCACCAAAGAAATTTTCATCAGAGGATGGACAGTCGGGGCAGACCTGACTGACCAGCACGGGGAGCTTTTTGACTGGCACGGTTTAGGTTTGTTAACATCCCAGAAGTTTCTGTCAAGTGCCTCCCATGTGCACTGCACTGTCCACTTGACAGGATGGTTGGGCATGTCATGCTGCAGGCCTTCGGGACGGGAACACACACAGGCTCCACACTGCTGTTGAATGTAGTTTTCATAATGGAAGTGCTTTGCACTATATTTTTAAGGTGGTATTGATTTTTTAAGAGCCATCCTCTCATAATTTCTAGGATTCTCTTTATTTCTCCTATTGCATTTTACATGGTTCTAGAGGTCAGTGTCATAGGCATGAAGAAGAAATAAAACATATAGAAACTCCAAGAAACAATATTTCATTAATGAAAATGGGAAATAAGTGATGATAATAATAATAGCATACAAAACTACAGAGGCTATAAATGCATTTTTGAAGGAGTGTAACTTCCCACCTATCTACCTATCTATCTGCAGAGCAACAGGAAGCCCGGAAGGAAATGTTCAAAACGCTAGTTATATTCCGGTGACTGTCAGCCGTTTCAGATCTTCTCTTTTTACACTATTTTGTAGTGCCCATTAGTCTTCCTGAAATAACGTCATAGACAATATGCCCTGCCTACACAAATAATTTTTGAAAAATCAATATATGCCCCAACTATAATGTAAAAGATAAATAAAAGGAAAGTAGTTTATAAACTTGTTTAAAATTGTGTTTAAGTGTATAAACGCCTGTGGTACAATCACACTAGAAAATAACGATGCCCCATCAATTCGTAAAACGACTCCTAAGGGGAGATACCCCAACTGAACGTCATTGTTTTGTTTTGTTTGTTGAAAAAGGTGTCCAGGAGCCGGGCCCTTGGCGTAGTTGTTAAGTTCGGCGTGCTCCACTTCGGCGACCCCTGTTCATGGGTTCAGATCCCCGAGTGTGGACCTACACCATTCATCAGCCATGCTGTGGCAGCAACCCACGCATAAAACAAAGGAAAATGGGCACAGATGGTAGCTCAGGGCGGATCTTCCTCGCCAAAAAAAAAAAAACAGGTATCCTGAGGATGACATTATTATTTCTAAATTTCCTTTTTTATAGAAAATATTCTTTGCCTAAATGAATGCCTTTTGCTTTTATAATCAGAAAACGAGTGTTTGGGTGGGTGTCATGTGATTCTGATGTGTTCAGTACAAGGGGAGGGGTCTCCAAGAGCACGCCTTACCTCGAATGAATAAGCCTTCCCAATCCCAGCTCCTGCTCCAGTGATCACTGCAAAAGGCAGAAACGGTTTCAAAGGAGAGAATTAAGCTTTCAAGTGCCCTTTCTCGCTGGCTACGTTTTCTCGCCGGCCTACTCTGTAGGACTCTCCATGTCCCAGAGCAGCGCCCTTCTGCTCTCCAGCCCTGCTCGGCTCAGCCGTGAAGTCTCCAGCCTTGACTCCCCTCACCACACGTTCAGAATGAAGCTATTTTTCTTTTCTTTTTGTTTCTTTTTTTTTTTTTTTTGAGGCATCGGTAAGGCCGTGGAAAACATGCTCCAAAATGAGGCAAAGAACTTCAGCCAGAGAACGTTTCTTCAGACCCCACAAGGAGCTAGGCGTTTCTAAGCCGTAATTCACGAGGAGCCAGCAGCGCACACTAGTATCTCTCCACCCACACAGCCACCTGTCACTGCAAGGACATTTCTTCGCTCCTCCTCCAAGCCGAGTTCTCCCGGTTTCCCATCCGCACCCCCACAGGAAGCAGCAATCAAAGCCCAAGGAAGATAGGGAACCCAACAAAGACAGAAACACAGAAATGCAGGGGCCTGAAGACTTTGTGCTCAATAGGTCTATTGATGAATGTAGAACACTCAGACCGGCCTTCTAGTCCTTTTATAGCCAATCTTACATATATATTTATTTAATGACTGAGCTCCAGGATAAGCCTTATTCACACAAATGTCACAATTTCAAAAGGCACTGCAATTCAGCATATACATGTGTCCCGTTTACCTTTGCACCAATTGAAGGGGACGCTTTCCAGAAGGGTGAACAAGAGATACGTATGCATTTAGCTCACTTCGGAGCGGGAGCAAGCCAAGCTGTGCAAGCTTCAAGCAGCACACTGGCCAAAGCACCCTCATTTTAATCCTTCTTAATGATTTTGTCTGTTTATTTGGGTAATTCTCAGTGAATCTGTGCATATTGCTTGTTCCTCTTTATACCTGACTTTGGAGCCACAAGTCTAAACAGATGCACCAGTGACATAATTAGGAAATCAACTACAGAGCTCTGGGGAGTTGAAAATTCTGGTCTCTAGTAGCTGGATTTTCTTCTTGTCCCCTGCACTTGAAATAGATCACCTCCCTGAGATCTGCCATCGCCCAAGACACTTTACTCTTGCAGGTGACATTGAGCCTATTCAATATTGACTCAGAAGACAGCTGAAGATTACGTTTTTCCATTTGAGTCAACAAGTACTCTAGTCTCTGGCGCCCCGTGAGCTTCTTTTGGAATGCGTGTCCTTAGAACGGTTTTGCCCTACTCTGATGGACGCCGCATAACATTTGGGATGTCGCATACTAAAAGATTATTCCTTGCTTATCTGAAATTCAAATTTAACTGAGTATCCCATATTTTATCTGGCAGCCCTGTAAGGTTGTTCACCATCTCCCCTATTTAACCTGGTGTGGTATTTCTAAAGCTGTTTAAATTCTTTTTTTTCTGTTTTCTGTCGTTGGATTTCTTGGTGCCTAACTTGGAAATGTAACTTTAGCACGTGAGCCAAGGAGATGCTGAAACCGTAGCCTTATGCCCTTCACCTTAAACCCAGCCATGGGGCTGAAATTCCAAGTGGTGGTTCCAGGAGACAGAGTCCACTGGGAGGCAGCAATTAACCCACCGTACTTGGAACAGAAACCAGACCCAGCTTCCATATCTGACCATCTTGAAAACGCATCTCCATGGAGATCTTTTGCCTTGATTTTGCAATACCTTCACTTCATGAAAGGGCTTGAAGCAATTTTTTTTAATAAAGTGAATTAAAATTATTCAGATTTCAGAATTTTGAAACACCCTTTGGCAAAACAGAAACACTCTAGGCTTTTGAAAATCTGAAGAAGAGGATGCAGAAACTTCTGCAGCATTTATTATTTGTGTCATCAGAGACCACAAAGAAGAAAGCCCAGCTAGTGAGGATGAGAGGAGAAGCACACAGGCAAGAACTGAGCACCATGCTGCCCGAGTCCCTCTCCTCAGGCCCCACATCTTGTTCTTCACTCCATTCTAATTTCACTCATGCTTTCCAGCCCCCCACATTAAAATCACCCAAGGAATTACGTCCTTGTGCTCAAAGGGAAAAGGTGCGATATACCTTTTGAGACATAAATAATGATAAGCAGAAGCAACACAAAGCAAGAGATGAGAAGCTTTCTTTACCTGCCCACTGTCCCATTGACTTCAAGAAAGATCTCGGCAAAACCTTCCAGAAGCGCAGGAAAATACATTTGGAGAATCTCACGCACTTCACGAGGTACACTAGGCACACCAGCAGCCCTACAAAAATGAAGAACTGTTCCAGAACTTCCCCCATGATGGCAGCACTGCAGAGGCTGTCTCAGACCTGGCCTGGGCCACCACCGGCAGGCCTCCTCGCGCGCGGCTGTGCGGGGGCGAGCCAGTCACCTCCTGGAGTCGGCCACAGGGTGCCTTTCACTCCATTAAGGCATTTAAAGTAACTTCTTTACACAACCGTCTGATTCACAGCCTTTGAAATAGAGTGTTCTTTCTAATATCTTTCCAGCACTGTTGGGCTTTTGTGCCTGCAGGGGAGTTGGTGAAGAAGCCAAAGGTGGACAGGAAGAAAGATAAAGCCCGGACAAAGAAAAAGTGGCAGCCCAGGGTTCTCCCCCTGCATTTGGAAACTCAAAAGGATGCAAAATCCTGTAAGTTATTCATTTCTTTACTCAACAAATATTTATTGACCGCCTACCAGGTGACACGGCTGTTCCAGGCACTGGGAATATGTAATAGTCACAAGTAAATTTCTGCATCCTCTTCCCCAGATTTTCAAAAGCGCAGGGTGCTTCCATTTTGTTAGAGGGGATCTCAAAATTCTGAAACCCAAATAGCAAACAAGGGTCGCTGCAGCGGGGAGCTGAGAGTCTGGTAGGGAGAGACAATGCCCAAATAAACGTCCGTGCCGTGGGGAAGTGCTGTGCAGCGACTTGTGAGAGCGACCAGTGAGCGGGGACTCGAGAGAGGGTGCTCAGGAAGGAGCTCTGTGAGGACTGGCACTGTGAGCCAAAATTTGAATGGAAAGAGGAGGCAGCCCTGCACAGATGAGGTCCCCCTCCCAGCTGAGGGAAGAGCTAGTTCGAATGCCCTGAGCTGAGAAAGAGCCACGTGCCTGCGGAATAAACAGCCCCACACAGTGAGGGACTGCTCTGCGCAGCACAAGCAAAGGAAAGAACGAGGTCGGGTGCAGGTGCGGGGAGGACCCAGATCCTCTTGGCGAGGAGTTTCAACTTTAGTCTGCGAGCAACAGGAAGCCACCGAAGCAGCTTAGACAAGGGAGCCCAAGAGTCTGCATTAGAGGTCCCTCTGATGCTGAGGGAAGACCTTTTAGTGTTGGGGATGGCCGAAGCAGAGGGAGTGAGGAGACTACAGTGCTCATCCAAGAAGAGCAGCACAGTGCTCAGTCCTGGGCCCTCTTCTCTTTCCAATCCACCATCACCCATGTGGTGACATCACCCAATCTCTTCACTTTATGGACTCTTTGTATGCTGAGGACCCCCCTCCAATGTATAACTTCAATGGCAACCCAGGCTGGTCATCCCGTGTTGCATATCCACTCACTACCTGAGACCTCCAGCTCAAGCTCAATATGTCTAAAGCTGGTTTCTCATATTTTCTCCAAATGTCAAATCTGCTCCTCTTGCAGACTTCCCTCTCTCAGGAAATTTCACATCTTATCTTCCAATTGTTCAAGTGAAAAACCTTGGAGATCTCCTTGACTCCTCTCTTTCTCTCAGATCCCACAGCCAATCTATCTCCTGTTGACAGACAATCGGATTTGTTTTCCGTTTTCCTTTATGCTGAAGAACACTGCTACCTATATTCTTGTATTTGTACTTTGCCATACATGTGCAAGCTCCTCTCTCTCTCTCTCTCTCTCACACACACGATTGCTGGATCACACATGTTATAGATGTACAACTTCAGTTTTACGAGTGTATCAGTCAGGTCCACCCAGGAGACACATATTGAGCATATTGAGACACACATTGGGCTCCCTTGTCTAAGCTGCTTCGGTGGCTTCCTGTTGCTCGCAGACTAAAGTTGAAACTCCTCGCCAAGAGGATCTGGGTCCTCCCCGCACCTGCACCCGACCTCGTTCTTTCCTTTGCTTGTGCTGCGCAGAGCAGTCCCTCACTGTGTGGGGCTGTTTATTCCGCAGGCACGTGGCTCTTTCTCAGCTCAGGGCATTCGAACTAGCTCTTCCCTCAGCTGGGAGGGGGACCTCATCTGTGCAGGGCTGCCTCCTCTTTCCATTCAAATTTTGGCTCACAGTGCCAGTCCTCACAGAGCTCCTTCCTGAGCACCCTCTCTCGAGTCCCCGCTCACTGGTCGCTCTCACAAGTCGCTGCACAGCACTTCCCCACGGCACGGACGTTTATTTGGGCATTGTCTCTCCCTACCAGACTCTCAGCTCCCCGCTGCAGCGACCCTTGTTTGCTATTTGGGTTTCAGAATTTTGAGATCCCCTCTAACAAAATGGAAGCACCCTGCGCTTTTGAAAATCTGGGGAAGAGGATGCAGAAATTTACTTGTGACTATTACATATTCCCAGTGCCTGGAACAGCCGTGTCACCTGGTAGGCGGTCAATAAATATTTGTTGAGTAAAGAAATGAATAACTTACAGGATTTTGCATCCTTTTGAGTTTCCAAATGCAGGGGGAGAACCCTGGGCTGCCACTTTTTCTTTGTCCGGGCTTTATCTTTCTTCCTGTCCACCTTTGGCTTCTTCACCAACTCCCCTGCAGGCACAAAAGCCCAACAGTGCTGGAAAGATATTAGAAAGAACACTCTATTTCAAAGGCTGTGAATCAGACGGTTGTGTAAAGAAGTTACTTTAAATGCCTTAATGGAGTGAAAGGCACCCTGTGGCCGACTCCAGGAGGTGACTGGCTCGCCCCCGCACAGCCGCGCGCGAGGAGGCCTGCCGGTGGTGGCCCAGGCCAGGTCTGAGACAGCCTCTGCAGTGCTGCCATCATGGGGGAAGTTCTGGAACAGTTCTTCATTTTTGTAGGGCTGCTGGTGTGCCTAGTGTACCTCGTGAAGTGCGTGAGATTCTCCAAATGTATTTTCCTGCGCTTCTGGAAGGTTTTGCCGAGATCTTTCTTGAAGTCAATGGGACAGTGGGCAGGTAAAGAAAGCTTCTCATCTCTTGCTTTGTGTTGCTTCTGCTTATCATTATTTATGTCTCAAAAGGTATATCGCACCTTTTCCCTTTGAGCACAAGGACGTAATTCCTTGGGTGATTTTAATGTGGGGGGCTGGAAAGCATGAGTGAAATTAGAATGGAGTGAAGAACAAGATGTGGGGCCTGAGGAGAGGGACTCGGGCAGCATGGTGCTCAGTTCTTGCCTGTGTGCTTCTCCTCTCATCCTCACTAGCTGGGCTTTCTTCTTTGTGGTCTCTGATGACACAAATAATAAATGCTGCAGAAGTTTCTGCATCCTCTTCTTCAGATTTTCAAAAGCCTAGAGTGTTTCTGTTTTGCCAAAGGGTGTTTCAAAATTCTGAAATCTGAATAATTTTAATTCACTTTATTAAAAAAAATTGCTTCAAGCCCTTTCATGAAGTGAAGGTATTGCAAAATCAAGGCAAAAGATCTCCATGGAGATGCGTTTTCAAGATGGTCAGATATGGAAGCTGGGTCTGGTTTCTGTTCCAAGTACGGTGGGTTAATTGCTGCCTCCCAGTGGACTCTGTCTCCTGGAACCACCACTTGGAATTTCAGCCCCATGGCTGGGTTTAAGGTGAAGGGCATAAGGCTACGGTTTCAGCATCTCCTTGGCTCACGTGCTAAAGTTACATTTCCAAGTTAGGCACCAAGAAATCCAACGACAGAAAACAGAAAAAAAAGAATTTAAACAGCTTTAGAAATACCACACCAGGTTAAATAGGGGAGATGGTGAACAACCTTACAGGGCTGCCAGATAAAATATGGGATACTCAGTTAAATTTGAATTTCAGATAAGCAAGGAATAATCTTTTAGTATGCGACATCCCAAATGTTATGCGGCGTCCATCAGAGTAGGGCAAAACCGTTCTAAGGACACGCATTCCAAAAGAAGCTCACGGGGCGCCAGAGACTAGAGTACTTGTTGACTCAAATGGAAAAACGTAATCTTCAGCTGTCTTCTGAGTCAATATTGAATAGGCTCAATGTCACCTGCAAGAGTAAAGTGTCTTGGGCGATGGCAGATCTCAGGGAGGTGATCTATTTCAAGTGCAGGGGACAAGAAGAAAATCCAGCTACTAGAGACCAGAATTTTCAACTCCCCAGAGCTCTGTAGTTGATTTCCTAATTATGTCACTGGTGCATCTGTTTAGACTTGTGGCTCCAAAGTCAGGTATAAAGAGGAACAAGCAATATGCACAGATTCACTGAGAATTACCCAAATAAACAGACAAAATCATTAAGAAGGATTAAAATGAGGGTGCTTTGGCCAGTGTGCTGCTTGAAGCTTGCACAGCTTGGCTTGCTCCCGCTCCGAAGTGAGCTAAATGCATACGTATCTCTTGTTCACCCTTCTGGAAAGCGTCCCCTTCAATTGGTGCAAAGGTAAACGGGACACATGTATATGCTGAATTGCAGTGCCTTTTGAAATTGTGACATTTGTGTGAATAAGGCTTATCCTGGAGCTCAGTCATTAAATAAATATATATGTAAGATTGGCTATAAAAGGACTAGAAGGCCGGTCTGAGTGTTCTACATTCATCAATAGACCTATTGAGCACAAAGTCTTCAGGCCCCTGCATTTCTGTGTTTCTGTCTTTGTTGGGTTCCCTATCTTCCTTGGGCTTTGATTGCTGCTTCCTGTGGGGGTGCGGATGGGAAACCGGGAGAACTCGGCTTGGAGGAGGAGCGAAGAAATGTCCTTGCAGTGACAGGTGGCTGTGTGGGTGGAGAGATACTAGTGTGCGCTGCTGGCTCCTCGTGAATTACGGCTTAGAAACGCCTAGCTCCTTGTGGGGTCTGAAGAAACGTTCTCTGGCTGAAGTTCTTTGCCTCATTTTGGAGCATGTTTTCCACGGCCTTACCGATGCCTCAAAAAAAAAAAAAAAAGAAACAAAAAGAAAAGAAAAATAGCTTCATTCTGAACGTGTGGTGAGGGGAGTCAAGGCTGGAGACTTCACGGCTGAGCCGAGCAGGGCTGGAGAGCAGAAGGGCGCTGCTCTGGGACATGGAGAGTCCTACAGAGTAGGCCGGCGAGAAAACGTAGCCAGCGAGAAAGGGCACTTGAAAGCTTAATTCTCTCCTTTGAAACCGTTTCTGCCTTTTGCAGTGATCACTGGAGCAGGAGCTGGGATTGGGAAGGCTTATTCATTCGAGGTAAGGCGTGCTCTTGGAGACCCCTCCCCTTGTACTGAACACATCAGAATCACATGACACCCACCCAAACACTCGTTTTCTGATTATAAAAGCAAAAGGCATTCATTTAGGCAAAGAATATTTTCTATAAAAAAGGAAATTTAGAAATAATAATGTCATCCTCAGGATACCTGTTTTTTTTTTTTTGGCGAGGAAGATCCGCCCTGA